TAAATGCAGATGGACTGCTGAATCTTGTCTTGATGGGTTTGTTCTTCTATGATGTGTCATGGGTTTATGAAGTGGTTGTTTTGTTTCCCAATGTACAGATCTGCACATGGCTCACTGCACTGTACGGCATATACCACGTGGCCCAGTTTGTGTCTGGGTGTTTTATCCTTGGGGTGGACAAGCTTCTGCCTTAGTGTATTCTTGGGTTTGAAGTGTGCACATATGGGAGCTCAATCTAAAATTCTTAAGTAAGTGTATTCTGATTGCTTTTGTGTTTGGTTATACTGAGGATATATCCATGCCTGAACAATATAGAGATATCTATTTTTCTTCTGCAATAATCTTGATCCTTGGCCAATTTTTATGATCCGGGTTGATAACACCAGCCAGCACCAACTGTTGAAGATCTTTTCCCTTCCTTCATGCTTCTAGGTCAATCCATCTTCCCAGTTCTTTGTTAGAAGAAGGGGGGACATGATGCTTTTCTATTCTTACTGGTATTCTAAATACAATTATGTTCAGAAAGGAAGCCCTTTTCAGATTTGAAAAGCCTGTCCATCCATTTGTTTGAACTACATTTGATTTACCTGCAGAGCCCTACATACAAAACCATGCTATTTGCAAGACAACTTGTCCTCCATTATTTCTACTTGGCTTACAAAGTCTAGCACGGTTCTGGTCTGCTTATTAAACAATGCTATCTTATTGGACCCTGGAGTCTAGGGCTAGGTCTACTCTTGGAATCACCGTCTAGCCCAGTGTTTCTCAACCTTGACAATTTTAAGGCATGTGGACTTCAACTCTCAGAATTCCACAGCTGTGGAATTCTGGGAGTTGAAGTCCATATGCCTTAAAATTGTCAAGGTTGGGAAACACTGGTCTAGCCCATGATTGGGGTGGCAGTGATGGGGTATATTCCATAAGTATTCCATGGTAGATCTATCTGTTCCCCCAGGGCATTTGGACCAGGAACAAGCTCCATTGGTGACTTGGCTTTTGTTTTGGGGATTACAGATAGTCCTTGACTTATGACCACAGTTGAATCAAAAATTTCCATTGCTAAGCAAGGCAGTTGTTAAGTGACTTTTCCCCATTTTATGATCTCTTTTTGTTCAGGTTTGCTAAGTGATTCATTGCAGTTAAGTGAATCATATGGCCGGTAAGTGAATCTGGCTTCCCCCGTTGCCTTTGCTTGTCAGAAGCAGGCTGGAAAAGTTATAAATGCTGATCACATGATCCTGGGACAGTGCAATTGTCATATATACATGCCAGTTTCCAAGGCCCTGAATTTTGATCACGTGACCATGGGGACGTCGCAACGGTCATAAGTGTGAAAAACAGTCATAAGATGAAAGTGAATGTTACAACTTTTTCCGGTGTAGTTGTAACTGTGAATGGCCACACAACAAATGGTTGTAAGTTGAGGACTACCTCTTTTGATTTAACTAGGGTGTCATGGAGTCATATTGTTGTGATGGATTGAGCTGCAGTGAGATGGGTGGCTCTATAAATCATTTCAATAAATAAAGGCGTCATATTTTCTGTTTCATGTTTAGGATTCAGCATCCCTCAAACAACGTGGCATCAAAGTAAAAGTAGATTTCATTAGTACTGAACAAAAATACTAATATAAAAGTCACATTGGACTACATTTTATCTGGAAACCAATAGCCACAGATGTCTCTGCTGTTTATTGTCAGAAAAAATCGCAGTACTGTCACCCTTGAAAGTAGTGAAAGGACAGTCACACCTTTTAAAATAAATAAATAAATAAATATGCCTATGTGCATATATAAATAAAATAAAATATAATACATAAGAGAAACAAAAAAAACCCACTTGGCATCTTGCAATGTGAACTTATATTTCTAATGTATAGTTAGACCACCTCATTCTCACTGGGGACTCCTTCCAAACTCCCTAAATCAGGGGTCTCCAACCCCCAGTCCGTGGACCAGCATCGGTCCACAGCATGCCAGAAATCGGTCCACGCAAACAAGGGAAGCCCCATCCGGGAATGCAGGCAGCACACAAAACAATGCCCCCCCCTGGTCCACGGAAAAACCTCTCTATACAGAACTGGTCCCTGATGCCCAAAAGGTTGGGGGCCTCTGCCCTAAATGAATGGTTCTGCTCTTACTGTAAAATAGTCTAATTCTCCCAATCCCTAGTCCTGGAACTAAACTTTCCTTTTGCCTTGAAATGGGGAAAACTCAAACAATTGGAGCTTCCTTGCCTTGCACCACTCAGTTTGCAAGAAAAACTAAACTATAGCAAGTGGATTAAGGTATCTGGATTTATTTTAAATCACATACACACATGCACACATATACATAAGTACACTGGCTAAGTTGACATCAAACCAGTCATGTTTAATATTAGCTTATAGAAAAGGCCAGCTGAGCTTATATGTCACACAATTGTATGGCTACATTTGCCATTTTATTTAATTCCTAATTTAGTTACAATAGGAGGATCACAGTTCTAGATTGGGTTCAGGTAACATGAAATCATTCATTTTAACCATGAAGCATGGTTCAAAGCATTAACTAAGTTTTGTAAATAGTAATGATTTGCTGGATTTAAGCATACTTGTCTTAAGGACACAAGGGCCCATTACATAACTTCTTACTCGGTCAAGAATTTGGGCAATTCTGATTTATATACTATAATTCAGTGTCCTTGAAAATGGCAAAAATGTTGTTATACTATCTATAAAACTCATCAGGCTTTGATTACCTTGATGATATAGTTAAAATACTGTTTGTATTTTATTTGAAACAATCTATTCACTTACTTTATAATCTGCAGAATTCTGTTCAGTGATTAGAATAAAACATCACACTAACCCAAAACCAAACAAATCAAATTATGGTTTAATGTGATGTCTGAATCCACTGGGCTTGGAAGCAAGGGTTTGATGTGGCTACTAATGATAGAACATACAAAGCTGCGGCAAAGCTAGGTTATTTAGCTTCATAAACTCGGAGATGTTGAGAAATGTATTTCAACATATCTGAGGAAGATTGTGGCAAGAAAGGCTTGATTATGTCAATTCTTAGCAGCTCTAGAAGGAACATGGAGCTGCCAGGAATTGACCATAGCTCCTTTCCTTAGCAAAGAATATGTAATATTGCCAAGGATTGGATGACCCTCCTGGAAAAATCTTTGTTTTGCTTGTTACTTCTCTACTTGTCCTCCTGCCATTTTATCATAATCTCTCCCTCTATGTCGCTGCATAAAAGGAAAGTCATGTTCCCCCTTGTAGGGAGCAGGAGGAATTTGAAGACCTCCTCCCGGACAAATGGAAGGGTCAAATAAGCAGAATAGGATGAAAACAAGGAGGAGGGTGTCAGGTATGAAGTTCTGAGGCCGGAGAGAGGCTGTTGATCATTAAATGTCAGGGGAGCTTTCTGGGACCGTGGGCTCGACATTGACGGGGGAGAGAGACAACGATACTGGGGAGGAGGCCAGCGCCACTGCTGAACAGCTGGGAGGTTCCACGCCTCGGCCTCCAGACAGCTGTTTGACGCGGGAAGGCCCCAGGGAGGAGCACCATGGCAAAGATGTCCACCGGGAGGAAGCCAGCTGGGAGACATTGGGGAAGAGGCCAGTAGAGGCTAGCGGCAAGGACGATGCCCGGGGAGACGCCAGGGTAGCCCTACCTGGACAATGGCCAAAAGGCAGAGCCGCTGAACAGCCATGCGCCCGACAAGCAGCTGATCGGCGCAGGAGTGTCCCCCAACAATGTGAACCCAGTCGAACGGAGAAGAAAGCCAGAGGCCCACATCGCTGTTCTTAACCTTAGCCACCGGATGCTGGCTAGGTGGGTGGGGGGGTGGAGCTGGTGGGGGAGGACTGTACGTAAGGCGCTGGGAGGAAATCACTCCCAGCGCTAACTTTGTTTTGCTGTGATTAAACGCTGGTCAGACCGTTCTATTTTTTCCAGCCACCTTGACGTTGACCACTTGTCTTCTGTGGGAACCAGGGGTTGGTAAGGACACTTGACACCCAGTTGCCATCATTAACAATGGATCGTGTGGGTTGTTAAGCAAAGACCACATGTGACTGCAACCTCCAACTTCCTGCTGGCTTCCCCACTGTCTTTGCTTTGAAACTTTGAAATTGTGATCATATGACCGTGGCGATGCCATGATGGACAGAACTCCCTTGTAGGTCTCCCTTGTTCAGCACCATTGCAACTTTAAACAGTCGCTGAAAGGAGTGGCCATAACCTAAGGACCACCTGTAATGTATTAAGCATTGGAATGGCTAATACCTAGAAAATGATTGTCCACTTTAGAAATGCAACTTAGTTTTTGCAGATGTGGGTAGTAGTCCACAGGAATAGCACTAAATTGTCTTTGTGTCTGAATGTGTAGATTGCAGAAATATTCAGTAACTGGCAGGCCATAGTACCAGCCTTGCGGCTGTGGGTCAGAAATGACTACTGCAACAAGGACCCATAAAGACCAGAAGTAAATCACTGTTGTAAACTATGGTGTCCTATCAAGAGCGCAAAGCAAAAAAAGGATGGCACAATTCCCCCTTTAATAAAGTAAAAAATAACCTGCAGCTAGTACATTAGATTTATTGTATTTTTAAAGCCAATTGTTGGCTGAAAGAAATTGCTAAACGCAACGCATCCCCTCTTCGGATTAACATTCAGTGAGATAATACGAACCGTGTTGTCAAAGGAACCTCTTGAACCCTACTGAGCATGTCCAAGGGCTAAAATAGCTCTTGGAGCCCAGCCAGGGGGTAGAAGGTCTATTTTGCTCCCCACTCAACCTCTTGTCTGGATGATAATTCTTTTTTAAGCTTTAAGTAGTTTAGGTTTTCTATTTAAGTAACCACTTTCCATTGGAAGGGAAGGAACCATTTTTTACATGCAAACATACATACATCCCAATATTTCCTTCACACCCCTATGTATTAACATAGGTGATTTCCTGTTTTCAGAACAAAATCAGCATGTTTGCCTGTTTTCTTCGTTTCAGACAACCTTGGCACGTATCATAGCCAATAGCAGTAAGAAGAATGGAACACGGTTTGTGACGCTGTCGGCCACAAGTGCCAAAACCAGTGATGTCCGAGATGTAATTTTCCAAGCCCAAAATGAAAAGAGACTCTGCAAGCGGAAGACTATTCTATTTATAGACGAGATACACCGTTTCAATAAGTCCCAACAGGTATTAATTTTTCTACATGCAGTCAGGAAACTAGTATACTGCAGTGAAGTCATTCTGCATGTGCTTGAGCAATGGTTTAACTCTGACAATTGTGATACACCTTTCCTGAAGGGGCTCTGGAAATCTATTTAGAGAGATATTATCCAATTTTTCTGTATTTGCCTTCTGAAGCTCAACAAGGTGTGAGAGAGTGCCTGGCCCAAGGTCACTTAGTAAGCAGAGCTTTGTGCCAAGGTCTCCCTAGTTCAAGTCCCTACACTTGATCTGTTATATCATGCTGGCGTAATACTTGTTTACATGCATTTTAAGACGAAATGAGATTAGAAACCCATTAAAAATTACCATATTGATGCTGATTGCCGTATTCAGATTTAATATTACAGTCTATTTAAAAAGCAAGTTTGGGATTGAGAATTTGGCAACCACTTCCATTTTTAATATGCCGCCCTATCCCAATAGAAAAAAAAAAGCTTCTTTTCTAGTCAAGCAAGGTTATGAAGGGACAGTCAGAGCATTATAGTCATCTTTGCAGTTGTTTCATGAGTAAATACTTTTTGTAACTTTTACAATTTTAGTTTCACAACTAAACAACATTCTAAAATAGAATGCCAGAACTTTTTGGAGATGTATTGGTTGATTATGTCATCAAGTGACCACATAGGGAGATTTGGAGAGTGGAGATGAATAACATCAAAAATTATATTAAATAATTACATTAACTATATTAAATAATTAAATTAACTATATTAAATAATTATATTAAATAGGGAGTGGATTGCAACAAAATTAGGCTATGGTACATTTTCCAAACATTCATTGCGTTATATAACATCAAAATGTACCTGGTGCTTTACAATCTTTGAATAACCCTTTTGGAAGACTGATTAAGATTTACCATCACACGCCCCTTAATTTCTCCAAAACAATGAAACCTATGTTACAAAAACATACTGTTTTCAGTATACTGCATGATCAAGGTTCTTGTGGCATCATAGAAATGAGCTCGGTTACAATGAATTAAACCACTTTATTAGATGTGCATGCACAAAAGCTAATGTACTAAGACTTAACCTGCTTTCCACACAAACTTTTAATTTTTAGCTTGGTGTGGTAAATGAGGGTAGAGATGATTGTCTGCAGCACAAACTATTAACAAATCTGTTACCTTTCCTAAGCATATGAGCTGTCAATATACTCACATGGGATGTCTGCAGTTGTCATTGACTGGGACCAATTGTTCGTTTTCTTCCCATGTCCAGGACACTTTTCTTCCTCACGTTGAGTGTGGAACCATAACCCTCATTGGGGCGACAACAGAAAATCCTTCCTTCCAGGTCAATTCAGCTCTGCTAAGTCGGTGCCGTGTTATTGTTCTTGAGAAACTCTCAGTTGAAGCAATGGAAGCTATCCTGATGCGAGCTGTCAAGTCCTTAGGGATCCAGGTTCTGAGCCAAGACGAGGAACCCACCAGCTCTATGAATGCCAACAACAGCAAAAGCTCTGAGTAAGTATGCTTTGTAGACTGCTGCGTGTTAACATACACCACCCAAGGAATCCAGTGACAGATTGCCAAAGCAGAAGGCAGGAAGAACTTATGGAGTGGGGAGGAGGAAGAAGAATGCAAAAACCAAACTCTTTTAATAGCAAAGGAGAGGGGTTGCGTTGAACATAAGTAATAGAAAATAGCTGTGTGCAACCAAAGTAAAAAAAAAATTGAGCCTAATTCTGTAACAACTGCTTTGGCCACTGGCCATTTTACATTTGACAGCAACTGTGTATTATTGCCTTTGGGTTTCCTAATCTAATTTCTGTCCAGCAGTTTTTGCTCATTGCAAGTTTATCACAATAGTCCAAAATGCGGGGCAGTTCAGCCGTCTCTGATTTATTTTGATTCTGTTGATCAGAATTGCCTTTATATCCTGGGTATTTTATTAAAAGTGAGCAGTGAAAGAAAAATGACTATTTCCCGTAAGGACTCCACATTGCTGATCCTAAAATGCCATCAAACAATTCAAGTAAATATATAAAAGCAGTTCAAAGTTGTTTTCAGGTAAAAAAGATGAAGCCTCCGTCATGTGACATTTTTGCTTTCATCTTATATTATTTCAGACGTACACAGAAGTCAAAATGTTAAGATAATTGCTACCTCAGACTGGAGGCATAGACTTAGAAAACAACTACATTTAATAAATTATATACTACAACTTCCCCAGTGTAAAAGTCTATTTATTTTGTCTAGTGAAGCAGGGTCAGGAGCACAAGGAACTGCACACGGGTCTCAAATATCTATTCCTAGATTTAAATGCGAATTTCAGTTCATAGGGCATATTTATATTTAGGTCTCACTGCTGCAGCTAATTCTGCTCCAGCTAATTGTTTTACTTGTTTTATAACTTGAAAGCCATCCAGCATCACCTTGTAAGGGGTGTTGGGCGGCATAAAATTTTTTAATAAATAAAATAAATAAATTCCTGTTCATTTTTTGGAGCTTAAACACTAGTAATTTTCTCTTGGTCAGCACCATTGTCCATTAAAGAAAAGAACACAACTAACTTTGTTTCTGCTTGGAAACCATTTTTGAATTTTGTGTTTGATGATTATATAAAAGTAAAAAGTTTTATGTTGCTGCCTTATTCCACTGCATCAAAAGGAGCTGGGACTTGGTGCTTTTCTTTTTCCCTTTGCTTTATACTTTTTTTTTAACTTCCCCTTTTCCTCCCCTATTTTCCCATTATTTTAATTTTTCTTTGTACTTCTGTATTTTATATTTTGATTAACGAATAAATATTTTAAAAGTCAGTAGTACCATTCTCTTCAACAGTAGTCAGTCAGTATGTTAGATAATGTTAATATTGTTTTAATTAAATCACACAATGAAGCCTTTTGAGAAAAAAATCATTGCCTTTTATTCAGTTTTTCTCTAATAGTTAAGAAAATGATATGCTTCTAACTAGACTGCATGATTTAGGTCAGGGGTAGGCAACCTTGGCTCTTTTATGACTCGTGGACTTCAACTCCCAGAATTCCTGAGCCAGCTATGCTGGCTCAGGAATTCTGGGAGTTGAAGTCCACGAGTCAAAAAAGAGGCAAGGTTGCCTACCCCTGATTTAGGGGAACAGTGGAATCTTGCCTCCTTATTTAGGATATTGCCTTTGTAAGATTTTCAGGTTGCAGCAAGATATAAACAGTAGGTTGTGGGGTGGAGAAGAAGTAACACTGCTTGTCAGGCTTAATATAATGTCACAGCTGTGTTTACAGCGACTCTTTGGCTGAGTCTGGGAGGCTTTTGTTTCTGAATGGAATGTAGATAGTAGAAACTATTTTTTTCCTCCTCCTGTTCAGGGTTTTGTGTTTCACTATCCATTTTGTGCATGTGTGTATTTCTGGGCATATGCTAAATAAAATATAATTTAAGTTGGTCATGCCAAGGCTTTCCGGATTTAGCATTGGTGGCCCTTTTTACTAGCTTACGGCGGTCTCCCAATGAATGTTCACTTAGAAGGTACATATTTTCCGCATCTCTTTTCTCAAAATAAAGAGATTTTAGTGAGCTTGTTGCTGCCGTGTGGTACTTCACCAGCATGCTTTATGTCCCATGTGGGGGCGCAGTGGTTAGAATGCAGTATTGCAGGCTAACTTTGCCGACTGCCAGCAGTTCGATTCTCACCAGCTCAAGGTTGACTCAGCATTCCATCCTTCCGAGGTCGGTAAAATGAGGACCCAGATTGTTGGGAGCTATATGCTGACACTGTAAACCGCTTAGAGAGGCTGTAAAGCACTATGAAGTGATATACAAGTCTAAGTCCTACTGCTATTGCTATGTATATGTAGGTCAGCCCAGCTCCCCAGTGTGATAAACATGAATAAACTGAAGCATGGAAAGGTTAAGCATCTTACTCAAGGTCATATAATCAGTAAGAGAGTGGTAAAAAAGGGAGAAGCCTTGAAAAGTAGTATCTATATCACCTTTTCGCTTGCCTGGGCCGCAGTGTTAAAATCACTGGAGGTTTTTAAGAAGAGATTGGACAACCATTTGCCTAAAATGGTATAGGGTTGGGCTAGAAGATATCCAAGGTCCCTTCCAACTCTTGTTATTCTGCATTGAGTGAAGAGGAATTGTCTTGGGCCGTATATAAAATATATAGCTTTATAATATTAAATCACATAATGTTAAAAGTTTACAAACTTGTAGGGCCACGTTACTAGCTGTCCAGGGTTGCATGTGGCCCATAGGCTATGGGTTGGACACGCTTGGTATGTATGATAAAGCAGATATTAGAGCCAACTTGCTGTGGCTTCATTGTACAATTCAAAAGTCTATTGTGTAAGGCCAATTATAGGAGAATATCCTAATAGATTATGTGTTTAGCTGATAAGGTTTACATGGAAGGACTTTTTGAACTAATGCTTGGCCTTCAAGCATCACGCTGGAATGAAGTTATGGAAAGTTGGCTGCCATACCGTTGTATCCAAAGGAGTCCTCATTCGTAGTAACTGTACGTTACTGTAAGGTACATAATGTTGGCTGCAATTATTGCCAAATCATTTTTTGCAAGTTTTACAGTGTATTCTCTTGGCTCTTGTAAATAGATGAAATGGTCTTCAAGCAGTTTTCATATTTTTCTAAATGTTAATTTTATTGTGGTTTAAACTTTGTTGCTGATGCATTGGGATCTGGCAATCCTCCACTCTCCTAGTCTTCCAGAAGATCTTTAAAAACTGGCTGAGGTATTGGAATAAGGTGTGATGGGATCCCAGCAATTAAAATTGTGAATCAGTTAGGAAGTGTTGCTTGGGGCACCGGCATTCATGTTTTGGCTTTTTGTGTATTAGTTTTACTACTCAGATGGGTTTTAATTATGATTTTGTTAGCTACCCAGAGTTGTGGTGCATAAGATAGGCGGATAGGGATACAGATAGACTACATTTAATAGCAATCAAAATAGCTCAGTAATATTTAGTATATTCATTGCCTATCCTTTGCTCAGAAAACCAAACAGAAGCAAATTCTACTACACACAATCCCAAATATTGTGCTGGAAATAAATTATTGAATAGAATCAATCTAAATAGATTCGATTCTTTTTTAGTCTGCTTCGTTTTTAAGAAATGTGATTTAAAAACACTGGGGTGATTCAGATAAGAAATAATTGTTAAAGAAATAATTGTGGGAAACTGGGACAAAACTTTCATAAAGTTAGGGAAAAGACATATATTGCCAGGATATGTCCTCAATATTTTAATAGTTTTTTTTATTGATGCTTCGATGTATTGGGATATTTTACTAGATTTTTTTTAGCAGTGTCATTTTATTATTGTCTAGATGTATATTATAAACAGCCAGAGCCCAGTTTGACTGGGAACAGTTAATTAGTACAAGAAAAGCAATAATAGCTAAATGTTGTTTTTGCAGGTATCATACATTTTAAGGGACCAATACTAAGCAATGCAATAGGGCTTAGAATTATAAGAAAACTGTAGGAAATATTTGCAGCTCCAAAGTCAGGCTAGCTGGTAGTTTTAACCCAAGAGCTCGCACATAACCTCGTATAAAGAAAACTTACATAAAATGTTTTATAGAGGCATCTTCCACCTGTCAGATTAGCAAAAATGTTTAAAAATATGTCTAGTAAATGCTGGAAATGTTATCAAAATCCTGATACATAATATCACCTGTGGTGGACATATGTTAAAGCAAAAAAAAAAATTTGGACAAAAATGTATACTTAGAAAAGATGTTAGGGAAACACGTAGATTTTAAACCAGAACTTATTTTATTAGGTATAATTCCAGAAAAAAATGATAAATCAAGTATATATTTAACATTACATGTATTAACAGCAGTGAGGATGGTATTTGCTCAGCACTGGAAAAATGAAAAAAAAAAAACCACTGTTGGATGAAGAGATAATCAAGAAAATACTGGACTCTGCTGAAATGGATAGACTTACATTGAGAATCAAAGAAAAAAAAGTCACAGAATATTTTCAAACAGGGAACTTATTTTATCAGTGGCTGGAAAAACGAGATAGAGAGTAAGAATTTAATTTATTACTAAGCAAAAAACCAACCCAGACAACATGTTGTTCATTAAGCACTAATGAATCGTAACAATAGAAAATTATTAAAATACTTTAAAAATAATATAAAAAAAATAAAAAAGAGCTCTCACATAATCTAGAAATAAACTGCTTGTTTCGGTTTCTTATGCTTATGCAGCTAAGTTCCAAGAAAGCAGGAACTGGGTTAACCAAAATTGCATGCCTTGCTAATAGAAAAACCAGCTTAAAGGGCAAAGGTGATTTAGGAAAATGTCAAAAAGGGGAACTGAGCAAGGGGTGGGGAGGACTGTAATTTAGGGAAATTCCAAAAAGGGGAAAACTAGGAATTCCGGAAAGATTGTGAACTTTGTGGTCCTTGTCAAATGGGACTGCAAGGGAGGGATTTGTGCTTCAGGCTGAGGGAATAAAATGCCATTGAATTCTATTTTGAGGTTTGCTTACT